GTGTGCTGCGTTATGCAACGGTTATTATATTGACAGCCTCCGGACACCATCTTAGCGTTTATTTATTTATTGGTTTATTACCGACTATTCGGTTTTGAAGTGTGGGAAATCGATGTGTTAAAGGTTTTTTTTTATTTCGGAAGTATTTTACTAAAGCTCTTAAAGCTTGAATAGCTGGATGATTACAGATTTTTCAGGTTAAATTTTAATAGGAGCGTAAAGATGATTAGCAGTCTAATACATACTTAAGGGAAGCGTATCCTGTTCAAGATACAAGTCCTAATTTTTCAGAAAGAATTTGGCGTGGCGCTAACAAATTTTAGCTGCAACATTACTTTTGATCATCATACATAACATCACGCCTTTATCCCGGAAGAGGTAGGCAGAGGTGCAAATTACGGGCCTTACTTTTCACTATTTATGTTATGGGACCCATGTAATAGGAGGCGAGCCTATTGCCATATACCGGGCACTTTTGATCACTACGTTTATATAGAAGAGAGTAGAATAAAGATTGTTAAAAATCCGCTGTAGAGGTAGATAAACTATACCTACCAATTTTGTTGTTAACAGTAGAAAATGATATTTATTTAGATTCACAGTCATCAATTGACTGCACGGTTGGTGCGGTGGCTGGGCAACCGGCTGCCGTGCAACGTGTCGCGGGTTCGATTCCCGCACGGAACAACACTTTGTGTGATCCACAAATTGTTGTTTCGGGTCTGGGTGTCATGTGTATGTGAACTTGTATGTTTGTAAACGCACCCACGACACAGGAGAAAATCCTAGTGTGGGGCAACGTTTATTAAAAAAAAAAAAAAACCATCACAAATTGGTTGAGAAGCAAATTCTACGCCCTCATTATAAGCCTTAGTCAAAATCTTATCACAAAATCTCCTATACAAAGAGATAAACCTGTCTAATCCTGAACAAATATCAAAAATGCAGTTCATAATAGTTCTTATTGCATTAGAAGTAGGTAGATAATTATTCACCAGCGACCTTGAAATCGACCAGGGTCTTATGCAATGGATTATAATACTGACAGTTTAGCCGGAGGCAGTGTAAATGACTTTAGATCGACGTAGTATGGAGTTTATAAACATTCTATCCTGCTTATTATGTTTAAAAAGATATCAGGGAAATGATAAATATTGGGACCCTATAGAATATATCTACATTAGGGTTTAATATGATCTAGCCAAAGTGATACCTACTTAGATGTTTTATTTTATTGTGTCCTTTTATAGCTATAATTTCTTGTTTTATGGGATTTTTTTAAGGGGGGAAAATCATCTAATGACTGCTCCCGCCTGGGTGAGGCGGGACTTTTACTGACTAAAAACCACCCCGTTCCTTCTCCTGCACGTCGAGCCGGAGCCCCGGTAACCCGTTAGGTTCTCCGCGACTTTTTTATGGGATAAGCCCGTAAACGAGCAGACGGATCACCTGATGGTAAGCAATCGGTGCTGCCCATGGACACCCGAAACATTAGAGGCGTTACAAGTGCGTTACCGGCCTTTTGAGGATTACGAATTTGAGGATTATTGGGATTTAAGGATCGGGGAGATTGGGGCTGGGGGTAACTGTATCTCCAGTAAATTAAATTCAGACTTAAATCTTCTTAATAGTCTTTACAGCATTCATAGATTAATTTGCCATCATACTTAAGTATAATCCCTATAATAATAACATTATAACCGCATACATGACAATATAATACCTTTAAAGACATGTCCTCCGCCCGTCTTATAGCTGTCCAGTACACTCTGCAGGTATGAGCTGACAAGCACCTTGAATATGATCAGTGCGTTGGAGATTATCATGATGACAGGTGAAGCTTGGTTTCATCTTTAATTATCAAGTAGTTTTAAACTTATTTAACTGATTTTTAATACTGAACATTGGATCGCAAAGAGTGAGAGACTGATTTCTTGCCAAGAGAGACAATCGAGCAAGCCTGATTCCAGATCGATTTCTGGATTGGTTCAAATGCTACTGGGATTTTTGGTAATGAATTTTCTGACATCACTGAGATTTAATACAAATAGGTAGAACAATGGTTATAGAAACATTAAGTTAAATACTTGTAAGTCGTTGGCTGAGTGGTCGAAAGTGCGACGGCCAGGCAAGGGGTCTCGGGTTCGATTCTTGGGTCGGGCAAAGTATTACTGCGTATTTTTGGGGAAGTATTGGCACAGAGACTGGAATCATGCTCGGTATATGGCAATACGCTCACTCCCTATTACATGGGACTCATAACTTAAATAGTGAAAAGTGGGTGTTACATTGTACAGTGGCGTGCCGTAATGTGCACCCCTGACTACCCCTTCAGGGTTAAAGGCGTGGAGACTTAACGGTGTCTGTTGTCTGTCCAAGGAGTGACAGTCACTTGTTTTGGCCAATCTATCTAAAATACTAATCATCTGACATCACTATAGAACCATACAACCAAATAACAACTAAATAACTTGGGTGAATAATAAAGCAAAGTAAATTGAAATGTTATGAACCAATAAAGGCGTCACAGTGCAAGTTAATGCAGTGGTGTAGGTCGTTGAAATGTCCGGTATTGAGCGTTGTCTCACTGCATAAGTAGATGTTTCCTGTGGTTACACAGGGATGGGAGTTGGTTACAGCAATTTTTATTATTGTTAAGGATTTATAAAAGACATTGAATTTAAGTAGATATTATAAAAGATAAAAATAAACTGGTTTCAACTGTAAAAACTGTAACTATTTAAAGACAAGTGGAAGTTATTGGTTTTGGTAAAATACAATGAGATTTTCTGTTTTTATACCTAACAGTGGTTAAGTTGACGATACGATATTATAGTAAATTGTTTTCCAGTTATCTACAATTAAAAAGTTTCACCATAGAACAATTTTAACTTATTTACTTAAGTACTGAAAATTCTTAAAAATTTTGTAGAGTATACTAACTCTAAATCTAATCTCCATTAAATGTCGTCACTTGACATCCCTACCTCAACTGTCACTATCAAACAATAGACATCTAACATCCATGTATGGAGCGCGACGTCCATTAGCTGCCGATATAGTGCTGTAGCCGACTCACCGGACATCCATACAATTCTATCGATAATGTGTCACGGCATCGATTAGTTGGCTTTTATGCGTAAATCAATGTTTGTTATTTCCTTTTTATCGAGTCAATGAGTTTCATGTTTGGAGTTGTAATTTGTTATAATTTCAAATCAGAGGTACCTGTGTTGTAAACGTCAATCAATAAACTAAAAATTACGACTTACTCAAGTATATATTTCGCTGAGAAAAGCTCTACTAGTCCCTTTGTGACTCGAAACTAGTAGATATTTTCTCAGTATATTTACGTCAGTCGTAATTTTTAGGTTATTCAGTCATTATGTCTCACGATTGTTATTATAAAAAGACTTCAATCAAAATAATGATTTTCGAATCTAAATCGATTTTTGGCATTTTTTACAACACTAGGACCCTAAATCAATCTAGATTCAGGGGGCCTACAAAAGTAACATTAAGGATTTTTGAATTTAGATCGATTATTAATTACAGCCGTTAATAAAGCAGAAGTCAACATAAAATTAACAAGAAGCATCAGTCCAAGTGTAAACACAAATCAAAAAAGAGGATTTTCCTTCGTAAAACGTAAATAAATATCTGCAAAAACCTCAATGAATACATGACTCAAAACAAACGCTAGCAGCATTAGAGTACAAATTGAAATACGCTAACGTAACCAGTTAAATCTAGAACAATTTGTTTTATTTTTAGGAGGAAAAATACTTTGTAATACTATAAGTAGACATGTACCGAACTAAAGTGGTTTAAGTGATTCATTCTCTGACAAATATACCTATCATAAATATTATTGCAAACAATTGCAAGACTGTTGTCTCATTATTTTGCATAGGTAATCATCAACATCTTTTAATCTACATAAAAACATAGAATCTAGTTTTCAGCAGTTATATTATTGTAAGTTTCAGTATAGAAAGTGACCATAAACATGGGTACATTTTTTTTATTGAGACAACCCCGCCACATCCTCCCGAAAACGCTGCAACTCCAGTAAGACTTCACTCGGGCTTTGAAGACACCCAGGTTAGGCTTCAGGAAATACAGGCTCTGGCAAATAATACCACTCCTTAGCAGTACGCAGCTAACGAACACATTATGTATCTACAATGAATGAAGAATGTATACTTCAGAATTTGAAGTTGTACTCAATTTCTAGAGCAAGTATATGAGTACATACTATCAGAATATATGCTTGGGTCCACTGACCTTCACCAAGAAAGTAAGGGGCGCCATTAACAGCCAACCATATAAACAACAAAATAAAAATCTATTACAGGCTGCCCACAAAAGGAAAAACGACGTTTTTGCGCACCAACCCAAGGTTTACACAAACAGTAGTTATGTGCCATACTTGGGAGCTGCGCACGCGCTTCCTAGGCCCGATCTAGATACAAACAAAAGACGGTTTATCTTAAGATTAATTACTCGTTTTTATAACGCCATATGTTGCGGTAATCTTGTCGTAAATGCTTTGTTTTGGGGAGTTTGAGATAAGAACTCATTCAAGAACCGAATTTTAAGTTTAAGTAAGCTTTTTGTGTGACTGTGTTACCTACTTATTTTAAGTAGAACAACAAACATATTATTTAAGTACTGTGCCCTTATTTCTTCTACGAACCCTCAAATTGAATTATATGAACTGAGTGGAATTGTTTAGTTTTTATTTGTAAATTCTAAGCAAGTATGTTACCTATTCCTCTAATATTGTTTTCAGTTTTATGATCTGACTTAAAACACATGTCCATGCAACTTCATTAATAATGCTTTAAGTATTATCTAAGAATTCTATAACATTAAAACTTTAACAAGCTACACGCATTAACAACTCAGGTAGGTATAAACCACAGCCATCTGTTCCTATCATGTATAATTTATATAAATACTTATAAAAACAACGAACGCATGCACTATGCACTTACAATTATCTCACACAGGATATCATGAGGAAATCTGCAACAAGAGAACACTGTTATTGACTATATGCCACTTCTAATGAGTGTTATATATCATTTTATTATAACTTATAAGTTTATAATAATGTTAGTTGAACTTATAAGTCTGTTAGCGTTTGTTATTGGCAGTTTTAGATTGTAAAAGGTTAGTTGTAGCATGGTTATTGGCTTGTTAGTGGAGTTATTAATGATTTTAATTTAGGTATTATTATCCGAGTTAAAAGAATGGTTTAGCTAAAGCAGTAAGTATAAGAACGGTCGTCATTAAGACTAGCTAGACACTTTTATTTATCGTTTGTCTTATTAACATTGTGATTTTGTAAAAGTCTGTATTGGGTAGCTTGTAATTACTGTTTATTAAATCGGTACATGGTACCAATCGGCTTTCCAGAGTCTCTGCCCACCCCATGGGTGACAGGCATGAGGTTATGTATGTATGTGTTTATATATCGTAACTTTTTGACAATGATAGTTTAATTAAGGAAGATAGAAGATAAAAAATAACTGACTGTCTTAATATTTTTGTAAATACTTATTCATAGTATGTAGCAAATTGCCTACAATAACTAACATACAGTTTTAATTGAGGAATATGAGAAAAAATAACTAAGTTCAGTTTTATAATAACTTAAGCGAGTATGGCATGTTGTTTATTGACAGGAATATTTATATTCAAGCCTGTATTACCATAATTGGGTAGACAGATATCGACGTTGAATGACGCTGGAAATTGACTACATTTTTTGTGCCATATACATCGGGAATTATGTATAATTCTATATGATATTATGTATTTTTTACTGTAATATGTAATCGGCTTTAGAAAATATTATTTATCGTATTATATTGTAGTTTGATTTACTAGCTAAATAGACTATAATATAATAATGACATGCATTTTTATATTTTTATGAACATTTTTCAGCAAGTAACAACATAAGTAATCATACAAATATTATAAATGTGAAATTCTCTTTGTTTGGATATTTGTCTATCACGCTGAAACTGCTGAATGGACATTAATTAAATTTGGTATACATGCTGGGTACGGATACGGACTGACTTAGGTGATAAGATACTTTTTTAAAACAGAAATACGCGGGCAAAGTCGCGAATAAAAGCTAGTAATACGTATAAGTTCATTTTATTAAATGTCTTATTTTTCTTTGATATATTATATATATGTATATTTTTATAACATATAACAATTACTTAGGTAACAGTATTACATACTTTCTTAATTAAATTCAACTAGATTAATCTCTATTTAGACTTATTAGATCTGCATACCTACTTCTTGTGTCACCACAAGGCCTATTCTTACGATTACCAGAATTACTTTATTCACTACTCAAAATATATTTTTAATATTCTTATTGTGGAGGACAATAACCCAAATATATGATTAAGTTTTATATATTGCAATATATTATTAATGTAAACACATAAACTATTTATAAACCTTATGTAAACGATTTAGGTATCGGCGGCACATCAAAGCGTGCGGTATGTAATATGTAGCTTGTAACTAGACAGCTAACTGATTGGAAGGAAGTTATATATGTGTTATTATGTAAGTACATGCATTATATATTACATATAATTTTAAGTTGCATTGTAATATTAGTATGTTTAATATAATGTAGGTACCCGTTATTATTTATTATAAAAAAATCGTCTTCTGAATTGAAAATAGAAACTTTTTAAATTTAATGTAATCATTGGAAAACAGTACCATTTTAATTAATTTTATTTAAAAAAAGTCAAATGTAAGTAGGTTTATAACAACAGCGTTAGGTATGTTCTTAGATCCACGGAAAATTGACAGTTTTTATTTATTAAAATGATATTGATCATCAATCCAAATGCGTACTTTGCCACGTATAGATAAATACTTAACTCAATGAAAATTTAAAGCCTTCATTATATAAAAAAGTAAAAATCAAACGGCATTTTACGGGAAACGGTCCACATTTAATAGATAAGTGGTAGTAAATCGACTCCTGCGCATGTCGGCAACTTCAAAGGCTTCTATAGGGAACGTGATTATATGTGTAGGTAGTAGATAAGGACTGTGCTGTATAACAAGCGATAATATTGTTATAGTTATAAAGTATTAATTGGACTATGTGTATAATGATTGTAAAGCGGCACTTCTGTATAGGAAGTCCTAAGTTGAGTCGAGTCAACTTAAGTCGTGAAAATATTAGCTTTAAAGTCCAATTTATGTACAATTTTTTACGTATGGGCATTCCAACCACCCTTGATAAACAATTTATGCAAATCGAACGAATGAATAACGTAACATCACGCCTTTATCCCCGAAGAGGTATGTAGAGGTGGACAATACGGCTCTTAGTGTCACTGTACAATGTAACACCCACTTTTCTTTATGTAATAGGGGGTGAGACTATGTCCATATACCGAACACGATCCCAGACTTCGTGTTACTACTAAGATATTCTATTTTATTAATACCTAATGTCAGTCCTACAACTATATTCCAGGCAATGATCAATAAACACTTGGTCATTAAGAAACAATACAAATAATTCTGACCCAACAGGTTATTCTCTAAAACATTAGTACCTATTAATATTTACAAATAAATACTAAATTGACAATTGAAACTACATACATTGACTTTCCTATCCACTAGTTCGATTAGCGAGAGTTTAACTGCTTATATGTAGGTGGTTGTACAGAAAACTAAATTATATAATTAATATACCAAATTCTTAGTATTGTAATAAAATAAAGCACACAATTATCATAACAAAAATGTGGGCATCGAACTTCAATCTAATCATCAGTCTAATACAAATCCTTAAACTCTTTCATAGATACTTTGGTGGGGAAAAACCAATGTTTCCACCGTAAAACCAGTAGATAATAATTAAACTGTTACTATGCCCAATAGACTATTATATTACAGTACAATATCATTAATTTACAACTATTAAACTGATAATGTAATAGTAACTTGTATATCATTATATTTATTATAATGTCATAAAGATTATTTTGTGTAAGTATTGTTATTTGGTTATTATCTATCTATTTACTTTTCAGAAGGAGTGTGATATTGAAAGACATTTAAATAAACGGTAAATAGAGAGAGAATTAATTGCAATATTGTTAAGAAATATTATTTATTTGGCAGTGGTATATTTTATGAGTGGTTTGTAAAAAATCTGAGTCCTGTCCTGATTATGTGAGTGTAACTTCATTATTCGAATGCCTCGTTGGTCGAGTGGTCGCAAGTGCGACTGCCTTGCAAGGGGCTTGGGATCGATTCCCATTGACATTCTATAAAAATATCTTTCCAAGAGCTTATATAAATGCACTTTTCAATATTAATTAAAATGTCTAACACTGTTATTTTATCGAAATCTAGTTTATATTTATTTATTTAACAAATCAGAGAATAAAAACGTGTCTTTAAAAAAAAGACTGCCTCGTTGGCCGAGTAGTCGTAAGTGCGACTACCGGGCAAGGGGTCTCGGGTTCGATTCCCGGGTCGGGCAAAGTATTACTGGGTTTTTAAATATTCTCAGTAGTAGCACGGAGTCTGGAATTGTGCCCGGTATATGGCAATAGGCTCACCCCCTATTACATGGGACTCATAACATAAATAGTGAAAAGTGGGTGTTACATTGTACAGTGGTATAATGTGCACCTCTGCCTACCCCTTCGGGGATAAAAGGCGTGATGTTATGATGATGATGATGAATTTAAAAAAAAGGTGAAGAAGTGAATGAACTGAAGCACTGCAATGATAGAGATCTTAAAATGATGTTAATTCGAGTTCTTATCTAGAAATCAACAACAAAACGATGATACACTAAACACGTGTCCAATTAGCATGTCTTTTTTGTATAGTTACAAAATACAAACTACAGATAACAAATGCTAAATTCCTGATGTGTTTGTATTTAATTTCATAATTAATATTACATTTTCTCAAACAACACATGAATTTAAGTGGATTTTATCGAGATTTCAGGTAAAACTTAATTTCTAAATAGTACAAATAAATACTGAGAAGATTCACTTTGCAATGCCATTGAAAATATAGCCAAATTACTTATTAAACTGCTATTAATTAACTACACTATTTTTAATTTCTCGAATACGACACATATGTATGTACTAAGTTATCTTTAAATACTAGGATTTCCGTGTTTCCGGAACATGTAAATAATTGATCATTGAGCCGTATCATCGTATCGTTACAACCATACATTACTGTGAGTGACTGTCGCGGTGGCCTTGAGACGCGGTTTTGACCTAGTTGCCAACATGTGTTTAGAACTTTAGATGCTAACAATATTGTAAATATAAAGAAGGTTCAGTCCTAATTATACTGTAAAGAGATGATTACTGTTATATTCAAATTATGAGCCATAAATATGGTATGATATATTTTCTGGTAACTTGTAATTAACTTATAATGAACCCGGAATCGAACCCACGACCCGCGCCGCTGGTGAACGTACCGTGCGCTTTAACATCGTCCAACGCGCCGCCGGAGTTGGAAGCAAACGCTCGTAGTGTCCGTCAGAGGGCGCGTTGGGCTCGCAGCGCAGGTGGCAATACCGAGGCGAGCGCCGACGCCAGCCAGTGAGCTGCGCGACGTCGCCGCGACCGCGCACGCTGCTCATGAGGAAGAACCCCTCTGTGGTTCGAAACTAGTAGAGCTTTTCTCAGTATATTCACGTGAGTAACCCGCGTTTTTACTTAACTTGTAATTACTTTAAACTTGGTAGAATATATGGACGACAAATCGTTACTGTTATAAAATGCTGATTAGAATACAAAATCTTTTATATTTTCCTTTTTACTTTTTCACTAAAATTAAATAGAGTTGTTAATTTCATGATTGGACCAGAAGATTTAATTTTTTTATGTATTTTTATTACTTACACTTGACTTAACTGGTACTTCTGTGACATAGCTGTATGTTGACTGGTCATATACTTGTTTTAATGACAAATGATCGTAAGTGACGGTGCTTGCACGTCTTTTTGGGACAGGGATGGTACAGTGGACGTTTTGTATACGTCTTGTACTCATTACTTTAGGGTCACAGATGTTTGCAATTTCCATGTGAAAAGATTTTGGACCTAGATTATTGTCGATATTTAAAGTGTGTTTGTGTTAAAAGCGTGTGATACATTACCTACGTAGACAGAACTTTTTAAGATCAAGTTTTTTTTTATTTTTTTTTTAGTGTAACACCTCTTTGTTATTGAAATAAACAGAAATCTTTTGTAATTTTGTAGTAGAGTTTCATATAAACAATTTAAAAACACCAACTAAGTAGATAATTAAACATTTACCCACGACAAGCCCACTGAAGGATGATTAATTGAAACAACACGTGCGTTAGGCGCCATCCCATCTATTTATATACCTATATGTATGACTGGTAAGCAGTAACCATTAGTTTATATACGTATGTTATTAAACATTACTATCTTAAAGATAAGGTCTCGTGAGCTGATTATATTTCTTGTTGTAATCTCTTAAACGTGATGAACTTTATATATATATATATATTGTCTTATGAACGAAGCATCCTTTGGTTATTTTTGGAGTGTAGTGATTTTAATATAGTAAAAAGTAGGATGTACACGTTTGCTTGTGTTAGTCAAGTTTTTGTTTTTCGAAGCTTATTTGTTCTAGGTCCATGATTTTAGTATTTAGTTATTTATCCTATCAGTAATCCTTGGTATTTTGTGCCTAGGACTAAGGTACTTAGATCAGAAAAATGACATATATTGGTAGTTTATGTTAAAATACTGATACTTGTATTGTAACTTTCGTGAGATATACTAAATAAATTATTATGTTTTCGGCTTACTCACGTAAGAGGCTCATATTCATGATATGCTGCTCATGAATATGAGCCTCTAGCATAGCTTGAAACTAGTTGAGTTCCTCGTCAAATTATTACGTGATTAAGCTGAAAACATAATAATTTATTTAATTCTGATACTTATAAATATTTGGTAAACACCCAGAGATTCCAGAGAAATCTTCTAGGGAATGAACAACAGTGTCAAGTAATTATTTTGTCATACCATTTTATAATCAACGATAATAAAACATCAGAAATCGTACATTTATTTATGGGTTAATTCCCGGAACATACAACTTCAAAAAATCCTATACAAATGACACTTACGCAATATTTATATCAAAAATTATTTACCCGCGGAAGCAAAGCTAACTGTTCAATTTGTACTACCTACTGAAGTATTTACTTTATTTGACAAATATATTATCAATATATATTTAACACTATTTGAGGTACCAACACGGAACATTTGGTCTGACCTTAGTTAGACACGAAGGCTGCATCGCATTGAATTTTGCATATCTACTGTCAATATTTATACAAATGCTATTTGGCATTAAATAATCGATAATCGTTAAAGTATTTTTGTAACTTAGTTTAATATAGTTAATATATTTACTTGTAACTTTAATGTAAACTGCGTAGAATTAACTATGTAATAATATTAATTTTGTGGCTGATTAGCTAAAGGTGAATCGGACCAAATTGTACCCAATGCATCAAGAAACGTTGAGGAAAATGGTCCGAATCTTACTATGAACTTCATTTGAAGTCTTACACTGAATTTTTAGTTTTATTCTTTTAAAACATACTGAAACGAGTAGTAAATAAGGTAAGTCCCACGATTTCTATTCACATCATCTTAATATAGGTACTTAAGTGGAACAAGTGTACCTAATACAATACCATTAAAGTTTCAATTGCTGTGACTCAATCCTATTGTCGTCTTAAGTAGGTTTTTGTACCCGACACATGTTAAAATAACGTGATGTTAGTAAATATAATTGAACATTTGTTTGAGCAGATTTTTTCATTAATAGACTACTTCAATGGTCAATTGATTGCAGGCGTAACTGTTGAGTTAGAGAAGCCAATACTCTTGATATAAATATCTTTCGGTTATTAGAATTTAAGTAATTGGTATTGTACCTTAAGTCATATCAGGTACCTATACTGACTGGAATTATGTACAACTCTACCGACCATTCCTCATAAATGCATCTCAATTAAATAATTCATAGTACACCATAGCTCGTTGTATATCACTTAATACGCACCGTACTTTGTTTGATAACACCATAAAAAGGTTCATCGCACTGTGGCGTAACTTGGTAGGAATCCCAGTCTATGGGGACCCAAAATGAGGCCGGAGAAATTCCTATGGGGTAATAATAGTAAGAGATAAAATAATTGGATAGTGTTTCATGGGAGATTTTAGTCACTTAATGGGTAAATTAAAGTGAGTTAAATAGTTTTGAATATATCTTTACCCTTTCAATGGGGTTTTAGATTGTTTTTGGAGACGGAATTATTTGTAATTAAGTATTACTTATTTGGAAGTGTTTTAGTATCTTTCATTGATTTCGAAATTGTGAATAGTAAAGCTCTAAACAGACGGACCGCAGTTAATTTTAGTTTGAAAGATTGTTTTTTATATATTTGATTGGCCGACATTTGACCACTATCTCGCCTGATGGTAACCGATGATGCGTCCTATGTTGTTGCTATATTTCAGGTTCCAACCGACATACATTGCACAGCCTATCGCCCAATGGGTATCAGTTGGTCGACCAAAAAGATTAAACAAATTCTGCTTACATCATTCAAATCATTTCGTTAAAGCATGCATTGAATAATATAGACCTTAACAACTAAATAATAAATATTATCTTTCCATACCATAGTTCACGCCTTTTCTATGCACAGTTCGGAATCCCGTAAAATTTTAATAACCTTTTACCGCGTAGTAGGTCAATAGGAGAGATTTCTCTCGTAGGTGGTCACTTTGTCCCCGCACATCTAATTTACATACATTTAGTGTTCTTATGACATAGATATAGCTGGTGTCTAGTGTCAAGGCTGGTCACTCTATTAAATTGTAATCTTGCATTTTGAATTTGATGTTAATATAAATGTTATATGTTTATAGTGAACTTCGACACAGCTTTACTTTGTGTGTTTTATTTGCCTCATATTGTAAGTGCCTTTTCACACGTTGCAGTCATAGTATAGTTGCCGGGTGTCCGGCGCCGGCGGTAGCTTTCACACGTACCTGCGTAATTTGTATACTCTGATCCGCCGGGTACCCGGCACCGGCTGCCCGACAACCAGGACGTGTAAAAAGGCACTAATGGGTGGTCACTAGAGTGGGTAATTTAAGTATCTATTGCTGATTAAGTTTTGGGAATACATCGGCTAATTGATTTAAATTTCGATGACTGCAAGAATCATAAGGTTTTTAATTCGATCGCCTTGTTGACTGAAAACCACAATTGGTTGATAGCAATGATAAGTCAGTGGTTTCTGGTTTTTAACACTAATCTAGATTTCATTTATCATCATTTCTATCCCAAGATTACATAAGAAGAAAGGCCTTGACTCAAGATCAGGTCACTCCATCATCATCTAAGATGACGTAACATAAAGTGGTGTGATCAGGAAGGCAACGGATGCAAGTGAACTGCAATCATCAAATCAGTGATTTACCGTCGCCCTCCCCTCCATAATTGCAATGTCCCCTCCTAAGAATATTGTTAGGGAACAATGAGAGTTCATGGAAAATGACGGACAGAAGAAAAATTATTATTTTATGGTCGTCCCACGGCAGAATATGAATAATGTGAACATTTTAGAAGCAAATATGCCTATGATAAAGGTACATATTTTGTAAAAAGTAAAGCGCTACGAATTTATTATAGATCAAAGCAAAACGCTTGTCCTTCTTCGGTTTCTCTATGTAAGACAATGAACTTTATTGTCAAAATATTGATTTTCCGTGACATTTACTTGTACATTTTGTATTTACAATGTGCAATAAAACCTTAATAAGAAGCTAATATATCAAACTGACACCGAGGCATTATAAATAATCAATTTCGAAATAATTTCAAAAACATTTACTCGACACAGGAATCGACTACGCTAAGTAATATTACATAATTATTTTGATCAAACCTACATTCATTCAAACTTAAACACAACTTAAATATAACTTGACACAAAGCGGCAATTATGTAGTACTTCCTGTTAACTTAGTGAATTACATCAAACATAGTTAAGTTAACTTAAGTAAACTCACTGTTTAACAATGTTGGGTAAGCAGTACTACCTCTGCTTAGCACCATTTGGTATCAAGTTGAGTTGTTACTTTGAAACTTAACGTTGACTTAATAGTCACTTAGGGAGTTGTGATTTTTTTGGACTCTTGACATGCAAATCCCTTGTGTTTTATTGTAGGTAAGAGACTCTTTATAATGTCAAGCTTGTTATTTAAAAGGTAATTGGCGAAAGTGTATTTTAGAGATTAAACCCTTAAACCCAGACTTTGAAATTGCCGCACGTTGCATCTAATCGATACATTCCTAAAAGTTTAATCCCTAAAAACTAAACCTGGCTTTATATTAATTAAGTTTATTTGTTCATACCTTATTTAAAATTGGAAAGTAATGGATAACACATGTGCTACAGTTTTAATGCATTTATCATGTCTTTATCTATAATTCGGTAAGTAGATATTGATAACAAAATTAAAAGGGATTTTATAGTTACTTATTCTGTCTTGTATTACCTATTATAACATAAAATATTGAAAGAAATATTGATAGATAATTGTGCAGTTAAGAGTCATAAGAACCACACAAATGCAAATTCCATTGCAAATAAACTTTCAATTTCAATAAATAATTAATTCTACCCGACCTCCATTGCCACCTCCGCAATGATACGCAAAACAAATTATATTAGCACACAATTAACAGCAGCCCATACTGAGACAGACAGACGCAATAACATACATACTTAATATATGTACTACATATGTACTCGGTTGTATGACATAAGAAAAGTGTTGCTGTCTGTCTTTGTGTATGTTGCAATTTGGCTGCTACTGAAAAAAGTACTGCAAGATATAGTGTATTACTTATAGTAATTGGTAATATAATAAATGAGAAATAATGCGAATGTAGCATAATGTGGGGTAGTCTGCAAAAAATTTACGTCAGTTGGTACCGTGCATGTCGATAAAGGTATCTTTATTTAAAAATAGATTGCGATTTTTTATTTTTTTATAATCTTTGTTTTGTGTGCTAATTGCCAAATAAATGTTGTTTCTTTCTTCTTTCTTTCTTTCTATTTAATGTGTGCGTTATGCCTTGCTCATGGATTGTTACTTTTACTTTCAAAATATCTAACTTATTCAAAATGTTATATCTATTGTCATTTGTAAGTAGAATCAATAGGTGTATAAAGTACTTATTAAGCGAATGTGAGTACCAATACAAACCAGGTATGGTTTAAACTGTCAAACACCAAGCGGTCACCGGTGACCGCGACCTATTGTTCTTTAATTGTGTCTATAAAACCGGTACTCGACGAGTTAATGGTGTAAAAAATGGTGCAGAACTCTATCGAAATGTAATAATAAATAAAAAAGTAAAAAAAATATGGCTAAAGTTTTTGGAACTTGACATTATTGACTACCTCAAACGTAATCTAAGTCGTGGGCTCAAATCCTAAGTCGAAATTTGTTACTTTAATACGATAAACGGTATGGGAGTCACCGGTGACCAAATTTATTGGAGGATTTGCCTTCGGACAGTTTTCTATTGATAGTCAAAGGCTTGATGAAATAAAACAATTATGAAAATACTCCAACTGTACTTTTATTGACCAATGCAGAACTAAATATGTACCTAAGAATTCAACGAAAACATCATATTAATCAAATAATTCTACATACTAACAATTACTAAAAAATCCCCTGTTCTATTCCTTATACCGTTGACCTCCAGAAGGACAATCAAACGACCTGTTCCTTAACTAACAAAGCCACGGCTAATTCAGTCACAATAACAATGCTGCCATTAATTTATGTAGTACGCAAAAGTGACACACGCGCTAGTGTCGCTTTTGGTAACCAATGAATGGGACTGTTTCGTTTCCTTGATAGAAGATAATGGCAATGTACCCATTTCGAATGTAGGTATTACACATGACTAATACCTGAGGGTTGCTACTAGTATATAAATTGTGTAGTCAAAGTAGAATACATTTTAGTTACTTCTCTTCCTATGGGTTTCGTATGTAAGAGCCGATTAAGGGATTATACATTTAACATCTTGCTATATCTCTCCGACACCTGATTCTTTAGGCCGCAACCTACAACCCGTCTGATAAGCGTGGAGTTTGCAGACCCTCTTATGTAGAGGAGGCTCATCATATAGTATTTTATTTTAAAGGGATAAGCCAGTAAACAAACAGACGGATCACCTCATGGTAAGCAATCGTCGCCCTTGGACACATGGAACACCAATGGCGTTACAAGTGCATTACCGGCCTTTTGAGGATTAGGCATTTGAGGGTTGTTGGGAATACGGGGGGGGGGGCGTGGTATCGCTCTAATGATGCATAGTATTAGTTTTCGTTCTAAACAGGATGGGATTTTATAAACATACAAAGATAATCATATTTCTATGTAACACCATGCTTACGTCGGTGGAATTGTAATCGATATGAGTGTGAACAAACTACTAAGTGCCTAGAAGGTAATTAATATATGTACATTTTACCTATTGATTTCTTTACCAAAATACAAAATATATCAGTCAGCAGCAGATATTATAGGAAGCAATCAATTTCAATATAGATAATTTTTCGGTAACATCTGATCAGTTTTCATTCTATCGGTACAATCAGTAGCCAGTAACCAGAATAAGGTTTGCATCACAACATGCGACTGATAACAATTAAAAAGCGCCCCCTATGATAATGATGCGATGTTCCAAATATAGAAATTTCTAATCGGTATTTCCAATACAAATATCTATTACAATAATAATCATTTTGTACGCAGATTGTTTAACAAACATCAAATGAAATCATCATACAGCGGCGTAAATGTATTAGTATGAAATTAGATCTAAGATTGATTTTTTATCTTATCGAGAATTTACGTAAAATCGCGATAAAATACGCAATAAACTGTTCAGGAAAACAATTGGCTTGGAATAATGGGTTTCGGTTTTTAATGTAAGTGTACGTATTTATGACTTTGAAACAGATTGTAGTTCAATATCAGATAATATTCAAAGACTAAACGAATAAAGAATTAGAGGAAGACGTTAATATATCGTGCGTACGTCATAATAGTACATAGGCATT